GGAGATCAAGTCTGGTGTTTATGGAGCGAGTCAAGTCGGGCCTGACCAAGAAGTTAGCCCACCGATGGCATGGACCATTCAGGGTGAAGAAGAAGGTGGAAGAATTCGCCTATGAATTGGAGTTACCCGACAAGAGTGGATATAGGTTCTACCCAGTGGTCCATGTATCACGTCTGAAGGCAGTCACCGAACTCGGCGGAAGACCAAAGACGAGGCTGATCGCCGACCTCGAAGAGACTCAACGATTTGACTTTGATGAAGAATTACTGCCTGAAGACAGCTGGGAACCAGACACAAGTACAAACCAGTATGAAGTCGAAGCAATTCTCGACGACGAGCTACCATTATCCACAAGTACGTCACGATCACAGCGGAAGTTTAAAGTTAAGTGGGTCGGCTACGATGAGCCTACTTGGGAACCACTGTCGAATTTGTCATGCGGAGGTCTCCTGTTTGACTATCTACGACAGAAGAAGCGCGAAAACCGTCTGCAAATGGTGCAAGTTGCAGATGAGGATTAACAGCTATTGCACCAAAAGTTACACCAACTCGGCGGACGACACAGGCCGAGTTGAGATGGAATGCTACTGTGTCGAAACTACATATACTGAATAATTACGAAATGAAGTCCGGAACGATACCTACGGGACGCCCAGTCAAAGGAAGAAAACTAAAAAGTCGGCGATCCGGATTCCAAGTGAGTTGAACCCGACGGAGACAACTGGGAAGAGCTCAGCGGACTCGACGATTGGAAGCGTGGCGTCGTAGCAGACGTCATCCCTTAGGAACTTGCGGAAGGAGATGCAACATTCGCAGCCGTGGCAAGAAGGATCATCGCCGAGCTAGCCAACGAAGCTGACGCCGAACAAGGTGCCTCAGGACCCGACGCGGCGGAAGTGGGCTGAGGATCCGTTCCACTGGGGAGTGGGGTGCCGAACGGAGACATACTCGGAGACGCGCCTCGGAGATTGGGAGAACCCAACCCATCGTCCGCCGAGTCGTCATCAGACGCACTCTCGCCATCTGAGCCGAGCTCACCGATCGAAGACCCAGTGAAGATATGGATGCCTTGACGATTCAGCCGAGTTGGAGCACCCGGGGCATAGGCAGAAGGCGCTTGTTCAGCAAGATCGAAATCTTCTTCAATCGCGTCGTCAACAACCTGAGGGTCCATACCGCGCGGAGCGAAAAGCTACAGCCTTTCGCAGCGACGCGAGGAGATTAGCCGATTGCGTAGCAGCAGCCTCCAATCGAGACACTTGCTGTTGAGCCGACGAGAGCTGAATTGACAAGTCGACATTGCTGAGAGCAAGCGAGTCCAGTCGCCGAGTCAGTGCGCGGTTCTCCTCCTGAACAGCTTGATTGTCAGCTTGGAGATCGCCGATGATCTTTGGATAATCAAGAGCGGCGTAGTTGCCTTTCAAGATATCCAACAGTTCC